GCAATTTGATTGGTTTGAATTCTTGGACGATAATTCATTCTTATCCTCCCTAATTCCAAGATTATATGAATAAGTCTATATCTCAAATCTATATTAATGTAGATTTTACATATATAGCTAGGTAGGGGGAATACAGAGGATGATAACAAGTACATTTTTATTATTATCATTTTTAAGGCAATAATGAAGATGATTTCATGGGGGAAAATACTAAATGAAAAATTAAAATTTTATAAATCGTATATTTTATAAGTATTATTCATAAATTCGTTAAATTTCAAATAAGAATTCATCAAAACTTGCATTCGCAAAAATCATAAACATCTTAATCAATGTACGACAAATGGTTACACTAGAATTCCTCTAGAGCCTTTAGCCTTTTGATGGTATGGCCAAATCTCCTAGTGTGTTTCTAGTGCTCCTACAATTTCTAAGGGCAGGCGTGGAGTTCATTCATAATCATAGGTTAACTTTACTTGATAAAGAAGTAACTTAACATGCCTACATAAATGTTCATGATCAAGCAATGCTTGTGTGTATTTAGAATTTATTTACTTGGAAATGATTTTCTTGAAAGAGGCACGAGCTTAGCTTAACTAGCGCAACCGTTCGGTCACCAAAACATGATAAACATGAAAAGGGTGACAACATGGACCTTCATCATGGTGGGAGAGCTAGCTAGGCAATTGTCTAGTACCAGCATACTTGATAACTTGTAGTAGAGGTTCTCACATGGGAAACATGATACCACGCACTCTAAACTTTTAGGAAGTACCTCATAACTTGAACATGACCTACTTATCTGAAAGAGTAGGTAACATAACATGAGACTTCTCACTTTGGGAAGTGAGGTGGTCACGTGCGTAGCTAGTTAAGTGAGAGTTAAAAACATATTCTTACTTACTTGTTAATCACAAAGATCATTCTCATAGTGGGAGATTGAAGTATTAACTTGCTTAACATAATATCTTATGCTTGATTTTCTTTACAATTCAGGACAATCCGACATGAACTGCGATATTAAAAAATCGGAGGTCGGTCGACCCAAACCTCCAACTCTTCCCATCTACATTGAATGTGGGCCATCAAGTGAACCGCTTCATTCCCCTTTCTTCCCCAGAATCTCCAGTAAAGAGCTTTCTTCGTGACTCAGTTCATCACTATTGTTTGACAATCTATCTCTAGTGGCATGGGTTTAGCGAAATGACCCCCCCCCCCTCAACGATGAAGCTTATCCCCCATTATCTTACTGGGTGACCTTGACTCTTGTTATTTTTTAGGTCATATCTAGTATTCAGAGTTTGCCCATCTTCACTTGATCTTCCACCATCTCCGATTTCCATTTCCTTCTTGTTCTTTAGACAACTGCCATTAGGGTTCGTCCTTCGCCATCCCTGACCACCATCCCCAAACCTTATCCTCCTATTGCTAGACAAGCCACATTCACATTAAATTGTTGCGCTTGATGCCACTAGTGGGGGTTCTAATGAAACCAATAATCCTCTATGTATGTTTGTGCTCTCCTTATGTTTGATTTCTTGAAACATTATCTTTTTATGGATTATGCTCGTGGTATGCACACTTGAATAAAAAAATATGAAATAATAACTTGATTTAAAGTAAAACTTATAGAGCACTTTTACTATGCTATAAAGCATTGGTGCTTTAATGTACAACTTGAAGTTGTACCATAACGTTAAATGTATAAGTTCAAGTTGTATCATAAAAGAATTTTTACTCTTATGTTATGATACAACTTTACCACTTAAAGTTGTACCACCACATAAAGGTAAGTTCAAGTTGTACCATAAAAAAATTTGTACAAAAGAGTATAGGTACAATATGAAGTTGTACCATAACGTTAAAAGTACAATTTCAAGTTGTACCATAAAGGCAAAAACCTATAGCACCAATGCTATATAGCATTGTAAAATTCCTCAAACTTATAGTGACATACTTGTTTTTGGAGGCAATGGCTTAAAAGAATAATCATATTTAAGTAAAAAATGGCAGCTAAAGGACTTATTTGAGTGACTTGGAATTAAATTAATCTAACAAGTCGCTTTTGAACCATTGCACCTTAGTTATAGCGGGGGATGTAAGAGGCCTTAACAATAGCGGGGATGCAAGCGGCCTCGAACAGAAGGAGACCGTCTAGTACGGTGCTTAAGCGTCCACAAAAGTGAGCTGGTTGAGATAAACTTTACACCTTCCGAGTTGGCACCCGAGGAGTGCGGAGAGGACCCATTGGTTATCTCCTTCCGAACAAAAAAAATTCAAAGTCACTAGGGCGTTGGAGGACAATGGAAGCTCAGCAGACATCCTATTCTACTCCATGCTCAAGAGCATGAAGAAAAGCGTACAGGATCTCAAGCCCTCAACAACCAGTCTTGTGGGGTTCTCAGGGTCAAAATTCGGGTGTTAAGATTGATAACCCAGCAAGTAACAATAGGAGAAGTGGGGGTGACAAAAACACGCCTTATGAACTTCCATGTAACTGAATATCCATCAACGTACAATGCAATCCTGGGGATGGCTTCTTGTCAACTTTCTCGGCGGTTCCATCCACCTGTCACTAGATGCTCAAATTCCCCACAGGAGGAATTCTATCAGACAACCATTGAAAGCTTGGAGGTTGACTTGGTCGACACGCGAGGAGGCCACCCTCGCCCCGAGGGGGTCGAAGAGGACGCAGTGGTAGTCCTAAGTGAAGAAGAGCCCGAGAACAAGGTCAGAATCTCATCTCACCTCCCAGAAGAGAAAAGGCGTGAGCTCTTGTCACTTCTCAAATAATACAAGGACCTATTTGCATGGACCTCGGAGGATATGTCGGGCGTCTCCAGGGAACTCGCAGAGCATCACCTGTCGATCAAATACAGGGCGAAGCCAGTGCAACTAAGAAGAAGAAACGCCTCCCTAGAAAAACAGATGGCACTAGAGGAGGAAGTAAGGTAGTTACTGAAAGTCGGCATCATCAGAGAAGTTAAATATCCAACCAGGCTAGCAAATCCATCTTCGTCCGCAAAGTGTCAGGACTATGGGAATGTGCATTGCTTTCACAAACGTTAATGTGGCCTGCCCCAAGGACGCATACCCCCTACCATGGATAGACTAGCTTATCGATGCAACCGCTAAACAAGAAACCTTGAGTTTCCTCGACATGTTCTCCGGATACCACCAAATACGGTTGTCCGAAAAAGATCAAGAGAAGACCGCATTCATGATCCACATGGGAAATTTATGCTACACAGTCATGCCATTTGGCTTGAGTAACGCTGTCGCAACGTATCAGCGAATGATAGATGTGGTTTTCAAAAGCCATTTGGGAAGAAACATGGAGGCATATGTGGACGATGTACTTGTCAAGAGCAAGAAGGAGGGTGATCACCTTAAGGACTTGAGAGAAACATTCGGCAAGTTAAGGAGGGCGCACCTTCACTTAAACCCGCTCAAGTGTGTGTTTGGCGGGAAAGCAGAGAAATTCTTGGGATTCATGATCACCATCAGAGGGATTGAGGCAAATCTGAAGCAAATAGAAGCTATACTCAACTTAAAGCTGCCTAAAGAAATCAAAGAGATTCAGACGTTGAACGGTAAAATGGTCGCTCTAAGCCGTTTATTCCAAGGGCATCAGACAAGTGCTTCCCATTTTTCAGATGTTGAAGAAGTCGGCGTCGCGACTTCAATGGAGTTCTGAGTGTGACAACGCTTTCTTCCAACTGACAGAGCAGCTGGCCTGGCCACTAGTCCTGAGCTCTTCGCCTCACGGAGAGCTTTTATATCTATACTTGGAGGTCTCCGAGCAAGCAATCAGCTCCGCCTTAGTGTGTAGAGCAAAGATGGCTCAGACCATCTCGTCTACTATATTAGCAAAGCGCTTCTCCCGACAAAAAAGTGCTACATGTCAATCGAGAAGGTAGTTCTAGCCGTTATCTCATCTGCAAGGAAGCTGCACCCCTATTTCCAAGGGCACCAAGTCATGGTGCTCTCAAATCTACCACTAAAGAAGATCTTGAGGGGAATAGATGTATCTGGAAGAATGACGAAACGGGCGATCGAACTAAGCGAGCACAACATCGCATATGCACTGCGTCCCTCAATCAAGGGGAAAGTGCTGTAAGACTTCATCGCAGAAGGCTTTAGCTTGGAGGCTGTAGAGATAGAAGGGAGAAAAGAGGTATGGGGCCTTTTCGTCGATGGAGCCACTGGAAAAGGAGGAGCGGGAGCAGGAGTCATTATTGAGACGCCTAAAGGAGTTGACATGAAATCTCTACAAGATTTCATGAGCTAAAAACCAACAACGTGGAGGAATATGAAGCGCTCCTCAGCAGTTTCAGAATCGATACAAACTTGGGCGCTTCAAGTCTACACATTTATTCCGGCTCTCTGCTATTAGTCTACCAAAGTGCTGGAAAACTATGAAGTAAAGGAGGAAGTGCTCGCTATGTTGTCAGGAAAGGTCAGGGGAATTTTGTATCAGCTGGAAACGTGGAAGATGGAGCATATTAGGAGGGAGGACAATCATCATGCGGATGTCTTATCAAAATTAGCAACCGCAATGGATTTAGAGGGAGACCGCCAAGTAACAGTTACAAAGGAAGCGACGTCCAACTATGATGTAATGGCAATAGAGGAGGAGGATCGCGATTGACATTCGCCGCTGATATACTTACAAAGGGACTCTGTCTCCGAGGACGCGGTCCAGGACAAAGCATTAAGAAGGAAGGCAGATCATTATACCATGGTAAAAGGACAAGTGTGTAAGAGGTTCTTCTCAAGAACATATTTGAAGTGCCTCGAGCAAAGTGAGGCGAAGTGGATGGTGAAAGAAATTCATTGAGGTACATGCGCTTCACATTCTGGGCCAAGAAGTCTCGACAGAACGATACTATTGTCCAACAGTTAAAAAAGATATGATGGAAGCGGTCCGAGGATGCCATGAGTGCCACGTACATGCCAACAAGCAACACATACCCAGCGAGGAATTGAAAAGCGTAACAGGGCCATGGCCATTTTCACAATGGGGGCTAGATCTTTTGGGATCGTGCCCTACTGCTCCTTTGGGAAAGAAATACTTGGTGGTTGCTGTGGATAGAAGATGAACCGCTCGACACGATTAGAAGTGCCAAGATTTAGAAGTTCTAGTTCAACAACATAATGATTAGGTTTGGGACGCCCCATACCATCATCACTTATCACTATAGTCAGTTTGATTGCAGGACGATTGAGAAATTTTGCGCCAGAAACCCCATCACATGTAGCATGGTGTCAGTTGCATTACCCCAGGTCAATGGGCAAGTCGATTTGCCAAACAAGCTGATCTTGCGAGGGCTGAAAAGAAGTTTGAAGGAAGCTAAAGCTGCAGAGTTACCACACGTACTTTGGATGCATCATATGAATTACAAAAGAGCAACGGGAGAGACCCAATTTGCTCTAACATATGGCTCCGAGGCGGTCGCGCCAATGGAGATGGCACTCCCATCCCTCAGGGGTCCAGACTTACGACCCAAAAGAAAACCACAGAAAGGTCCTCCACCAGTTAGATATGATAGAGACACGCCGAGAAGCAGCGCTGGTCCGAACCATTAGGGAAAATCCGAAGGTGGCAAAAGTTTACAAGTATAACAACAGGGTGAAGCTCAGGCCACTGGAGGAAGGCGACATGGTGCTGAAAAGAAAATTTGATCGGAAGGAAGGACATGGCAAACTAGCCATCATATGGGAAGGATCATTCCTCGTAAGGGAGAAGCTAGGCCCTGCCACGTATGTGCTCGCCACAATGGAAGGAAAGCCAGTAGCAAAGACATGGAATGCCATCCACTTGAAGAAGTCCTTTGGGGGAGTAGAATAAGAAGATGAATTGCATGGACTCTAGACATTTTGAACAATCAATGTGATCGTAGCCTACGATGTATTTTGTTTGCTAACTATATCAAGATAATCAAAGCGCCTCTGAGCGATGTCTTGAATGAAATTTTTGCACGGCCCGAACCACCCCAGACCGATAGTTTAAAAATTGACCCAACAATTTAAAACGCCCCAAAGCGATGGCTTAAGAATTTCACAATGCAAACAACCCTTGAGCGATAATTTAAAAATTGTCTTCGCAATTTGACCTCCCCAGAGCGATAACTTAAAAACTTGTCCCAACAATTTAACACGCCCTAGAGCGATAATTTAGAAATTGTATTCACAATTTGGCTGCCCCAGAGCGATACTTTAAATAGTGTCTCAACAATTTAAACCGCCCCAGAGCGATAATTTAAAAATTGTCTTCACAATTTGAACCGCATTCGAGCGATAATCTACAAATTATCTTCACAACCTAAAACTTCCCAGAAGCAATGCCAGTCGCTTACAAGGTGCACCTTGCAACAGACGCACGAATATCGTTAATGGATGCATAATATAGGTACGTTTGAAATTAACCAAGTACGCCACAATGGACGCACTAATATCCATTGCCTTATGGCAGAATTAGTCTTGAATACCTCCAAATGGAAGCAAAGCAAAATTACAGACTTAGTTTTTTTTCAAGAAGATAAAACATAGACTAGAGCTTAGGCATCGGCTGATGGTTGCTGGTTCACTTCTTCTCCGTTGGCGTATGCAACCTGAGTGCTAGCTCCGTAAGCGGCTCCAGTCGGAGTCTCAACATGCTAGGAATTCATGTCATCATCGCCCCAGTACTCGACGGCGTCCCATATTGCATGAGAATCCCAGACCACCTCATGGCGCTCGCGATGAAACGAATTACGAATAGACGCCACAGTATCCCTCAATAGCTTGTACTTTCACTTCATCAAAAGCCTTGAACTCGTCAGAGTCCTAGAAAGTGGCCTTCATTGTATCAGGCTATCAGCCATGTTATAAAGCCCAGCCTCGCGGGTATCTTCTAACTCTACCATATCCCTTCTCACCTTAGCCACCTCTTCGTCCGTCCCTTTTCTCGCAAAGACGCTTCGTGCACTTCCTTCTGTAACCACTCTGCATTCTCCTCTGCCTTCTTCAATGCATCCTTGGCGGCGGCTAGTTTAGCATCTTTCTCCATGAATGTGACCTCCTATTCTTTTAAGATCTCTTCCCTCGACTCTTTCTTAAACCCCTCACGGCCCTCTTTCAGTAGATCTCCAAGTTGAAGGATCTGCCTATTACGGTCGTCCAGGTCACTCTAGAGGAGGTCGTTGTGAAGCATCATCTGGTTTAACCCGAACCGAGTTTGCAAGCCGCACACAGTTAGAAGAGAAAGCAATTGAAAAATACTTAAAAGACTTCAGATATAAACTTACAACGAAGATGAATCACACGGTCGCACTCGCCAGATGCTTGGTATCAGAGGTAAGGAAGGGGCTACCAGCAACTTGGGTATACTCGCCTGGAATCGCAAGTTCCTCCAAAATAACGTGCAGAGCACGTTTGGCCACCGTAGGATACAAAGACGCTTGAGAGGAGAAGGTAACAGTTGACGTGAGTTCCATCATCTTCTGCTTCTTCGACGGGATATAGGAATCAAGAGGTGTAACTAGAGGAGTCTCAACAAGGATGCCCTTTGTCATAGCCTGTCCCGAGGTTGACCTCTTATCTTTCAAAGTGGGAATTTCCAAAGACCTCTTAGAGGAGCCTTTGCTCGAAGTAGGTTCAGACAGCTTGAGCACTCTCGAGCGGCCAGCAACAAGCTGTGTATGGGTCGTCGATGGAGGAACGAATGCTTGAGCATCAAGCTGAGGGTTGGGAGAAGGAGGCGAAGATTAGACGCCCCGCTACCAGGCTTAGGCGGTCGGGCAGAGGATGCATAACGTCGAACTCCTGCAAAATAAGTACATAACTATAGGGCATGAGAAACACACTAAACAGAAAAGGTAAGGACTAACTAACCATGAAAATGTCAAACTATCTGCAACGCATTATCATTCCTTTGGGAGGAAGACGAAATTGAACCGTCTCCACTATTCGCCTAAGGAGCGGTTTGAAGGGCTCGAGAGATTCATGATTGGCATTCCAATCTTCTTTATCGCCAATAGCAAACCCCTTGGGCGGTTCTACCTCTCCATAATACCATTTCACTTTTGTGTGAGTGAAGAAATACTACTTAAACCAAGGAAAATCTAGCTTGGGCGCCCCATACACAAAACCCACGCAGTTCACTCGCTTATAGCATGTCCAACAGTTATCGGAGCCACACATGGTGTACAAAAGGGAAAAAGCATCGAAAGAAGGAATTTTTCCAAGCCTTTTATAGGCGGCTCGGAAAGCAATAGAGTGGAAACCAATGCCGGAGATAAACGGCCCAAAGTGCAGTTAAGATGAATAAGAGTCTGAGTTAAGATGGGATCGAGCGGGAACTCTAAACCCATTCGGATATATTCCACGTGGACAGGAATCCAGCCGCCAGGACAAGATCTAGACCGCCCAAAGGGAGAAGGAGCGGTGTAATCCCAGTCAGGCGGGAGACCATGATTTTTCAACTGACGAAGAAATTGTGAGGAATTGTTGACAATTTCATTAGGCGGCCCTTACTCGTAGGCAGAGGCATGCACTTTCTCGCCTTCCCACATATCTTCGTGCAACTGCACGCGATGTGTGGTATCATCAATGGCCTGGAAAACCTCTACAAGAAGCGCATCAGACACTGTTAGAGAGGGAGAGTCTCCCATGTAGTCGGTGTCCTGAATGTTGTCGTGTGTCTCGTTCTCGCTGTCTGATGAGAGAGTAACCACGGGAGGGCTACGAGGCGGCTCTCTTTCCGAATCAGAAAGACTGAAGTTGCCAAGGTTGTCATCAACCGTCGAAGATGCCCTCGCATACCTATGGAAGTACCAGTATCGGCCAAAGAGTCCTTGTCTACTCCTAAAAGGCCATAATCAAGACCGTTTAAGTTCTCCCTACCACCGATAGAATTCTCAAGACCGCACACTAAATCTATGTTCTCCAAATCCCATTCTAGGTCAGACACGCTGAAAGGATAAGAAAGATGGAGCATACCTTGGGCGATCTGCTTGGTTCCAGAAGATGGACCGCAAGACTCGCCGCCAGTCTTGGGCGAAGAGCGAGGAAGACTAGTAGTGCTCGAAGAATCGATTGCCATTTTCAACCTTCGTTCCTTCTTCTTCGCCCGTTTTTTAGATCGTTTAAGCCTAACAAGGTAATTTTCTCGCTCCTCCGAAATAAGTGGATGGCTTCGCAGATAAGAAGAAAGAGTAAAATTGCAACGAGCAATTTTGGGCAATATTTGGGAAAAACTCGGAGAAAGCGGTAAGAAAGAAGAGTGAAGAAGAAGGATAAGTAGTGGGTATATATAGGAAAACAAAATAGGGGAAGTAGCGACGTGACGGTTGGGTAACCGGAAAAAAAATTCTAGTCTATAATTTCAAAAAAGCGGGCAGCTTAAGTGACGTCTGTCGCAACCGCCCCTCGAGATCGGGGATCCGTCGCGAACTGCTCGGAGTCGCCATCGACCTTATTCGTTGTGGGTCGAACACTAATTTGGTCCGGTCTCGACCTCAGCATCGAAACCGGATCTGGTCTGCGAAATTTTGAGATTTTGGGGTTCGGGAGTACAGTTACGTGTGGGGAAGTGTATTCACACCCCACAACGCCCAAAATTAGTACTACTTAAATCAATAAGTTTTTAAGGGTTGGGTGTATAATAATTTGCGACTTTATTGATGTATTTAATTGAATTATTTTGATAATTTTGGGTGTATTTTTAAGAGTTCAATTGGGCGATATTATTACCATAAAATTTGAACTGATGTAGTTACTTAATAATTTTCATGTCTATGGACGTAAAAATATTTTTTTAGATTAGTCGGACTCGAACCTATTGGTTGCCTACGTACCCAACTTAGTCGGGATCAAAGTCCACGTAGTTCGTTTATGTTGAAGTTTAAAATGTTGGATTTTGAAGTGATCTTAACACGTTGTATTGATCGTGGTCAAGATGATGATTGAGTTGTTTGTTAATGTATTTACGATGTTTCAACTTAGTAGTTGAATGGTAAAACCATCTTTTAAATGATTCCATCGAGAGTAACTATTATGGTTTATTTATCATGATTTCGTATTAAGATATTTTCTAAGTAAAACGAGCATGGGTATGAATAATGAAGCCAAAGCGAATGTGGTAACGAAGGTTTTTAATATCTTGAAATGTTTGGAGGTATACATAATTTGGTTAAAGCAAAAATCCTAGCACGATTAGTTGACACGAATATTATGTATTAACCTTAAACACGAAGAAGAGTAGACGAGGAAATCAAAGTTTCAAGTATGATAGCATAGCTTAGTGGTTGGCTGCCCTGACCTGAAACAATTATTGATGTCAGGGTCTCTGGTTCGAGACTTCAGTGTCTCAAAAAAAAAATTTGATTTCACAGAAGCAATCCGCGAGTGGCAGCGGGTAATTTAGTCGAAATTAGAGGGTATTTTGGTCGTTTATGGAGGCCTAACCTAACCCTAGCCGCTCACTTTTTTCACTCGTTCTGCCTCTCCTTTTTCATCCTCTACAATCGAGGAAAAAATCCCAAGTTACACATGTTTTTAAAAAAAATTCTCAAAATACACACGTTATGAAAATAGTTCCCAATCTACGCATGTTTGGGCTATCACCGCTGTCGACGAAGGCAATGATTGCATCACCGCTATCGACGAAGACAGTGATTGCATCACTGCAGTACACGGCCGCGGTGAAGGCCTGACCTGCGTCGAAACTTTAAACAAACGTAACTTAGTGTTCGGTTATCCGATCGTAGCGAAATTTTTTTTGATTCCGCATAATTTTTCGAGATCTTGCAAGCCGTAAATTTCCGTAGGCGGTTTGGTCCCTCCTTCGTCTCAAAAATATGTCGTTTGCTACCCCGAACGAGCCTTTTTTCGATTTCGTCAAACTTTGAACGACCATAACTTTGTGCTCCACAATCCGAAAATCATGAATTTTTTTTGATTTCGCATAAATTTTTAAGGACTACAATTTTTATCATAGACATATTTTTGGAATGTACTTGGATTCCTGAAAAGGAAGGTAAAGTTATTCCCAAAACCCCTTATATCCATAAATAATTCATTTTTTGAAAATTCTCTCCTACTAAAAATTGTAGTCCTTAAAATGTTATGCGAAATCAAAAAAAAATTCATGATTTTCGGATTGTGGAGCACAAAGTTATGGTCGTTCAAAGTTTGACGAAATCAAAAAAAGGCTCGTTCGGATTAGCAAACGACATATTTTCGAGACGAAGGCGGGACCAAACCGCCTCCGAAATTTTGCGGCTTGCAAGATCTCGAAAAGTTATGCGGAATCAAAAAAAAAATTCACTACGATCGGATAACCGAGCACAAAGTTACGTTTGTTTAAAGTTTCGACGCAGGTCAGGCCTTCACCGCGGCCGTGTACTGCAGTGATGCAATCACTGTCTTCGTCTACAGCGGTGATGCAATCACTGTCTTCGTCGACAGCGGTGATGGCCCAAACATGCGTAGATTGGGAATTATTTTCATAACGTGTGTATTTTGAGAATTTTTTTTAAAAACATGTGTAACTTGGGATTTTTTCCGGCAATCGAAGATCCAACAAAAGAAAGAACGAAACAAACCTTTCTCCTTCCATTCTTCTTCTCACTCGATCCCCTCTTCTTTCTTCGCAATCCATCTCCTCATGACTCCCATTCCTCGACCTGTCTTTCATCTGTTCTTCCCTAGGAACAACGAGGGGAAGGACCGAAGGGACGGCCGACAGCAGCTAAAGGAAGACGGCGATCGACACCGATGACGACACCAACGAGGGTGACGGAGGTAAGATCATTTTCATTCACATGCATGTCGATTTTAAGGGGTTTGATTTTGATTTTCTTTGGATTTAGGGGTTGTTTAGGGTTCTGATTGTATTTTTTGGTTTCTTCCATTTTGGCAGAGGGTGGAGAGAGAGCATGACTGGACAGAAAGAGGGTCACCGCCGACGAGCACTGACAGTGTTGCCGACGGCAGACATGGCAGGTGAGTATGATTCTGGGTCCGAATTTAGAAATTTTGTTTTGCTGGTTTTAATTCTAGAAATTTTGGTTTGAGATGATTGAGTACGAATTCTGGAAAATTGTGGTTGTTTACATCGGTATTGAGACTGGGCATTTGTATGTATGACTGGGTTTTAAGACTAAGCGTATGTGTGTATGTGATGAATTCGGAAATCTGTTCTGGGTTTTTTTATTTTAACCTGTGCATGGGTTTAGAAATTGAAGTTTGTTTGTAATCTAGAATTATGTGTCTGATGATTAAAGCTTTAGTTTTGTATTGAGTTAGTGTTTAACGTAGTTTGGAAGGGTTTGGTTGTGTTAGTGTGGTAGTTTGGCATATAAATTCGTTGGATATAGTTTGGTTTCGGTAGTCTTTGTTGTATTTGGGGGGATCTGGGACAGATTTATGGTTTGTGGATGGTCTAAATCTGGAAATTGTGGCGAGACTGGTTTAACTCTGGGATTTTGACAGTTTTGACAAATGGTGTTGCAAATCTTAGTTTTGTGTATGGACGTGTGATTATGAATAGATTAGAGGGATTGCCCTTGAAACAAAATCGAGTCTTGCTTGTCTAGCTTAACTACAGCCTTTTATTGAGTGAAGTTTTGATGGTTTCAATCATTTGTGCTATATGCTAGAAATAATGTCGTTGCTATGCATATGGAAATGATGGGTAAACAGAGTTTGTCTTTAAAGACAATATGACTCAGAATGAAAGGGATTACAATAAAGGCACAGTATATGTAAGATGTAACATATAAGTAGTAATAAATAGTGTTAAGTGAGGTGTTTATGGAATTAGGTTATGATGTATGTCGATTTGGGGGTAATTTAGGGTAGGTTTCTACCATTGGGGAATTCTGGCTCTTTGTTATCATTTTAGGGGGTTCAAATCTGGAAATCTGTGTTATGGTGTTCATGATGAGTTTGATTCTGAGAATCGGTTGCCGGTGATTTGTTTGATAATCTGCTATAATGGTTAGTTTGGGATTTTTGTGATAATGGCTCAAACTTTTTAGACGGGTTTTGGTGTTGGGAGTTTTGTGTTGTTTATGATGGTTTGCTGCCGGAAATTCATATTCATGGGGTGCAATTTTGGAGACTGTGTGTTTGTTTCTGCTTTGGGATTATGTTTGCTGTTTGTGTGTAAGGTTATGAACAAGAATAGGTTTAGAGTTTATAAACTAAAAGCTGGTTTAATTTGCTTGTTGATCCTAGTTTATGAAATCTGATTAGGTAGCTTAGGGTGAGTAGTTTATCTTAAGTATTTTTATGATGGTATGCTTAACACAAAGAAAACTTAGTAATTATTAAAGCCAACATGAACATAACTAAATATACAGGGCTAGTATAATCATCGAATAAGAAAGAACATGAACATAGTTTAGCATATATAGTTATAGAAAAGAGCTTTGATTGCAACAAATCATGGTTTTGTTGATTATTTTGTGGTTAACTTGTAATTTGTTTGAATACGGGTTAGGTAGATACCTCCTCGAAATCATATTTTAGAGGAAGGTAGTAGTAGAGATTATAAAAAAACGATGATGTTGAATGATAATGATGGTCAGATTTAGGATTACTATATTACCAAACCTTTTCTTGTAGCTTGATGGTGATTCTGCCCTTTCCTCCAGACTTCTCGCTGCTATCGTTGCTGTATCATGTTGCCTCCTCCTTTTCTCTATCTTTATCCTTGTGATTTTGGTCTTTGGTGATGGGGTGTTTGTGTATGTTTTGAAGAAGAAAAGAGGAAGACATTGAATATTCTAAGTTTATGTTCTTTGTCTCTCTTTGCTGTCTTTTCTTTCCTTGTTTTCTCTGTTTGTGTTGATGTCTGTATTTGTCGCTGCAGAAAGAAGAAAACAGGAGTCGAAGTGTTGCTTCTTTCTTTGTCGAGTCTGTTTGAGGAAGCGGAAGGATTGATTTTTCTTGTGTTGTTCTGGGGAAAAAGAGGAAGTAGAAGAACTGAATCTTCTTGGCAAGAAGCTTGGAAGAAGAGCAGCTGTCACTTTTTGTTCTCATGGGGAGGAAGAAGGAAAGAGGAGGATGTTGTATGTTCCCCTGTTTCTTTCCATGTTTTTTTGGTGATCTGTCTATGAAAGAAGAAGGAGAAGAAAGGAAGCCGAGTCCTTAGGGAAGAGGAAGAGCACAATCTTAGTGGCGTTGAGGTGATGGTAGGTGCCGCCCTCTACTTCTAAGTAGGTTGTGGATTGGGTTGAGTCGAACCGGTTTGGTTCGGATGGTATAGGCTGAGTTGGTTTTAAAATTGGGCGGGCATGTTGACCTTTTGGTTGACCCGGATTTGGGCCAGTGTAGAGTGGGCTTGAAGCCAATATATTTTATTGTACAATTGTAATTGGTTTAACGTAATAGCAAATTAGCGGTGTAATTAATTGTAATAACGTTTTTAATTATTTGGCATTGTAGCTCTCTTAATAAGATTGTTATGACTCCAATTTTTTATTTCGAAATCGCGATTCAATTCTCACAAGACCCAACGTCTTAAGAATCAATTAATTCACATGTCAAGTCATCACTAATGAATTGTATCAATTGAGATTAGCTATTGCTAATCTCATTGAATTATGGCAAGCAAGACCCACCCAAGCACTACAATTATGTTTAACTTAGAAGATCATTCAAGATTTGTTATTAAACATCTTAAACTTACACTAAATTTTAATTGATTAAATATGTTTTAACCCGGACAAAAAGTGGTGTCTACAACGTCTAGGCTGACCATTGTTAAAGCTCGATATTCGAGTCCTGCCATGTGGACAAGCATGTAGGCGACAACGTGAACCGCGTAGGTCAGACTGCATAAAGTCATTATTGGAGGAACACGACACTCAACGGGCGAATAGAGGAGGCTTGTAGACAACCTTCCGGCAGGAAATCTCCATTTCTCGTACGGTCAGGGGCAAAGGGTAGGAGAGCGGTTAGGAAACGGAGATCGCTCAACATGATCGATTGAAAGATCGTAGCCGCCAAAACCTAAAGCTTTTCCCTCCTAAGGGAAATTGTTGGGTCTAGTGATGGCAATTTGAACCCGCCCCACGAGTATTACCCGACCAACAGTAGTATGGGCGGGGCATGGGTATCTACTTCCGAGCCGCTCTGCCCCCCCCCCCCCCCCACGTTCTTGACCCATTATATCTCATTTTTTTACAGTATCTATACATATTTCTCCTATTTTGACTTTACTTCAACTAGTTATAGTCGATCTTTCAACTTGTTAGACTCAATTGCGCATTGTATAATCACTATTTTTCATTCATAAAGTGTTTTCACATTCGTTTTATCGTAAAAAAGACAAAATTAAAATTTTGTCTGTATTTTTTGAAAATAACATGTCAGAGTGGGTCGACCTGGCCCGCCCCGTACCCGTACGGGTTTTACCCCTCCAACCTATAGTAGCGTGGGGCGAGGCATGGGTATTGAGGTACCCACCCTGCCTCTCCCCATTGCCATCACTAGTTGGGTCCATAGTTGAGCGATAGTGGGCTTTAGAGCCCAAGGAAACAAAATAGGCCCAGTCTAGTGGGAAGGCTCAGGAGTGGCGCGGTCGCAGGCAAGGAAGTATGTTAGGCTGTCAACCTAGAGACAAGACATGCATAGACCGCCTGACATAAAGCACTGATGGTGACAAGAATGAGACATCTTCTAAGATACTTAACTCGAAGCAAACAGGACTAAGCATTAATTATCCACCATATGTGGCATATAGCAGGGCAGTACATGATTAGGGCACCTGACAAAGCATTTAATGCTCTAAATTCCACCTAACCGGGTATAAATACCTCCACACTAGAATTGATGATAACTCAACTACTTCCCTTCTCTCTAAACATAATACATATTCTCAGATTCTCTCTCTAACTTAATCATCGGAGAGTGTACTGGGCGACCGCCCACGGACCCTTGTTTTGCAAGGTTCAGGAGTGATGCCCACCATCAAGAACATAAACTTCGCTCGTGTCTCATCAAACCGCCTAATACATTCTAGGCTCAAACACTACCCTTCTCCTATATTTCTTCACCACCATTCATTGGTGTAATGTCATTTCATATGGTACCTTCTTTCCTCTTCCACATATTGGACCGATTTAGAAATTGCTAATTAATTTTTGGGATGTAGATGGTCTTATGCCTTATTGGGATGAAAATTAATGCTGTAGATTTTTTTTTCTTTTCTTGCTTCCTGTAACACCTCGACCCGATATGGTGCTACTTTTACTAAAATACCCTTATAAATCAATGAACATTAAATACATTGAAAGATAGTGGAAGCGTCGTACTAAAGATAACAGTAGACATAAAAGTCAACATGGTTTGAAACATCCTGACGTAATAAACATCATCGTAAAATCACATCAAGTCTCTCGTCCTACTAAAGTACTGAACTTAACTTCTTCCTTCTGGAGTGCTATGGAGCCAATGATGAATCGTTGAATCCATATGCGTGCTTATGTGCTTCTATGATTCCTGAATGCGGGTGTTGGGGTCAGTCCTAATCCTAATTTCATTCTTGATATAATATAAAACCAAACAAGATGCACATGAGTGCAAATGCCATGCAATGTCTTAGTACGTTATTAGGAGTTCTTGAAATTATAAGTCTGGGTATCTTGTATCTTTTATCTTGTGACGGGGCCCCTACCCAGTGGCGGAGGCAGCATTTCAAACCACCCCTGTTCTTTTTCATAACTTAAATATATAAGTATCTAATAAAATAATTATTTAATAAAAAATAATTATATCCCAATATTTCATTCATAAATTAAAAATAACCGATTATGCTAGCTATCATACTTTTTAAAAACAACTATGAAGGAATTTCATATAGTGAAATAAACGTAAAAACATTCGTTGTCTACACTATTATATAAGTCTCTTTTCAATGTATCTTACTAAACAAGTATTAGCTAGCAAACTGGTCGCCAAATCGACTTGGAAACTTGTTCTTAATATAACTCAAAGCTGAAATGCTCTTTTTACACTTGCAGTTGTAATTGGTAGATCAAAACTAGTGGGATTGCCGTTGTCGCTAGACAATTTCAGGGTTGTTGGGGAAAGATCGAATAGGCATAAGGAGAAAAGAGACCTGATTAGGTCTTTATTGCAATTGGAATTTCGTTTATTGTATAATAAATTAATTTTATGTCAATTTTGGAAAAGTAATGAATTGTGTTGTAGTGACAAAGTACTCTAATACTACCTATACGTGTTGTGTTCCATCACCAATATAAATATATATGGCGTATTTTTGTTCCACCGAAATTTACCCCTGTCCCGGGACAAGGCCAAAAGGCCCTGCCTCTGCCACTGCCTCTGCCTCGACTTAGCTGGCGCCACTACTAGTCTTACTCACTTAAACATGGCTACCTTCACAATGGGGAGCCTCACATGAGTTTGAACACCGCGGAACGAATTGCCATCCGGTGTCAAACTAGAGTATGTCTACCGAGGAACGAATCACCATCCGGTAGCACACGTAAACCTAGGCAATGGAGATCGCGGAACGAATCACCATCCGGTAGGGATCCCTCTAGATAGTGGCTAGCTAAGCGAGGTTAACTTGTTCTTACTTATTAACTTGTTCTTACTTAGCCTGGTAATTGTACATGCTTGCCTTAATTAATCTCTCGCACCATGGAGAGAGATAATTAAGTCTTACGTACATGTTTACTTGAAGAGCTTGGTGATCTCCCACCTAATGTGAAAGATCCAACTTAATAACTTTGATTTGGTCATAATTTTCTAATGAGCGTGATACTATGCATAATGAACATCATTCATAAACTTAGCATGATTCACAAACTTGAACATGTATCTCATAAACACATAACTCAACCATAAATAACATATAATAGCATATCATGTAACGCAAGTAACATGCATCATAAACAATTCAGAATGGAATACTAACTAGCCCCCTCAAACCACGCACCTTGTTAATTTAAGTCGGTTGATTTGATCTTGCCACCAACTCAAAGAATCGATGCTCTAGAGAGGATGATTCGCCGTGTTAACCTATGGCGAATACTAATGTTAGATCGGTTGGGTTTTGGATATTCTTAGCGACGGTTCTTAACGGTCAGGACTACTTTGCAATAATTGCAAAGTACGACTAATTAAATCATACTAAAACATTGACTCCTTAAATCTAATAGTTTTAAGATCTTAGCCAATTTAAATACTTGGAAAACTAATCATGCTAATATCACTTCCCTAGTTGAATCCAAGATTCAAGAGTATATTATAACATATATTACTCTATTATCAAATATCATAGTCTCTTAGCATAGTTTACCTCATTAGCATAGTTTATCTAACTTGCTAATCATATAAAATATCATAGTCTCTTCTAGTTTAATTTATCATATCATTCTACCCGAAACCACTATTTCGCTAGCTAATAAATTAATTAGTACTCTTTACCTATTAACTTGCTTAAAGAACCACTCAACAACAACATTCGCTTTATTATTAGACCAAATAACTAATGAGCTTAAACTAAATCATTTTATTAATTACTAAGTTAATTCAACATCATAATTCGTACACTACTCAGATTACTTATTAAATCAATTACAAACCCATTTGACAATACATAATCAACACTTATAATCAACTTAGACAATTAAATCATAAAAGCTACAGCTCCATCTAGTGACCGTCATCTAATCTGCCACTAAAGACTATCACAGCTCGTCCCAAAAGAGCTGCCACTGATTGCCAGACTTTCGAGACAGCTAACGAACCGTCACTAAAGCCTACAATACAGTCGCCAATTTCCATATTTATACAAACCCGTATTACTCGCATAAATGCCGATTTTAACGCGATGGATCGAGCTTCCTTACCTCATAGTATTCGTGCCTAGAGCTATATCAGAGTCACTAGGGACTCTATTCCTTGCTTAGCTCGTCATTCGATCACCTCGCACCTTGGCCGACAAAGCTACGATGCAAGAATGATGTCCATTGGTTAACTATGGTGATTGAATCTTAAATCGTGCACGTCTATAGTCAATCTTACCCACTAGACTCCTCTTCATGTCATCTTCGATAGCCCGAATCGCCGGCTCCATCGCTTGGATTCGCTGTCCTGAAATACTTGTGTGTTGGTCGATCAATGTCATGGATCTCACGGAGTTGCGGTTGCATCTCGCACTGATGTCAATGGCTGTTTGTTCTTACCGTTGGGATAAGGGAATGGGAGTGAAAAGGCTTGTTGTGGGTGGTTGCATCTGCAGTGCAATTATGATTGGGAAGGGAAATTAGGGAAACGCCAAGATAAATGTAATTCGGGGTGTTACACTTCCATTTATAGAAGAAAAAAATTATACAAAAAAAAAAAAAAAAGAAGAAGAAAGAAGTCGAACATCCAGTGCATAATCACAAAAAGTATTCTTGCTCTCAAACTAGTGGGCAAGAGCAACAGCAGCCTCTTGTACTAACGGCTGACTGATATACACAAAATGTTCGGCATCCCTCTCAACCTGCTCCCAACACTGATCCCCACATTGCCCTTCCTTCATCTTCTTCACAAAGCCCACAAACCGTCTCCAATTCTCCGGCTCGAACAGAGTCGGGTTCATCCTCAGGTACGTGAATGCACACATCTCGTCATCCTCATCTGCTTTCTCGCCAACGTTCAGTGCCGCGGCCTCCTTGATCTGCTCGAGTGCGTAGTCATCGTATCGCGGCAGCGCGTTCTCCCCTGCCAGCGGGACTCCAGCCTCCTTGGTCGCCAGAGCCACTTGCCTCACGAGCTTCTCGGGCGCACAGAGCGCGTCCTGGGGCTGCTCGTGGTCCCTCATCTCGATGCAGGTGAAGTTGAATACCGCGCCATGGCGAGCCAGCATCTGGGCGATCGGAAGGTACCCGTCGTGGAACCTTGTGTTGTAGTAACCCGCCGTGAGCTCTGGTGCGTGGGAGCGAGTGCCGTAGTGCCAGTGGATTCCTGCTACTTTGACCGAGATCTTTGTGCCTGCATTGCTGAATAAGGATGTAGCTGATGACAGGATCCTCTCGCCGTGGTCCAACAACATCTGGGAGTACCAGTTGAGGAAGAATTCGCCATAGGGGGTGTTCCAACCACCGTTTTCTTTGCGGAAGAATCGGGTGTCTTCTGGCCAGTTGTTGTATTCTCCGGCATCAGTCGGGCCACTGTTCCCCCATTGTGGCTTGCCAGCGGCCTCAGCTGCAACTTTCAAGTTGTTGAGCATGTACTGCAACAAACCCATTCATTTCATTTCAGAGAGAGTTAGCTTAGCTACCTACATACATTGATGTTTCATTTATAGGTTTCAACTTTCAACCATTGTATTCATAACAAGTTACCTTGTCGTAGCATTGGAAGGCCCCAATGCCGGGGAATCTCCAGATACCATCTTTCTCTGGGTAGGATGGATAACGGAGCTCACCAGCAGGACCCATCCCTACTTGAATTTCCTATAGATTGAAAATGCCAACAGTTTGCACAGTTGAGAACACAAAAGTTTCAGGATTTCAAGTCGCGAATCCAGGGTTTAACGATGATCAATTACCACAATGGTGTCGCCCAGAAGGTGTTGGAAGTTGTCCCTGAATGCACGCATAAAATCGGAGTAGCATTGCACAGGCGATCGACCTTTAAGAACTGGAAGCGTATCGCATCCGAGCGACAAGTACTCGTAGTTCCTCCTTCCCCATTGATCCGTGTAAGCAAGATCTGGGTCATTGTTGACCTCCTCCACAACCCAATTGGGCAAAGGAATGCTGCGATGAAGTGATGAAACAGCCCGAGTTAGCCATTGCTCATCGCCAATTAAACACCGCAAAAAGAAATATTGACAGAGACGAACTTACTTGCAGGAATCACCGACGTTGCCACCGCACTGATGAAACGACATGACGGCCTGGACCTTAAGGCCATGGCGCTGGGCCATCTCCAGAAGGTCGGAGTAACCTCCCCAATTGTAAACCCCGGGAGCATCTCTCTCCACCAAACCCCACCACACGTCCATCATAATCCCTTCCACGCCGGCGCTCTTCAGCGCCTGCAGGCTCACATTCATCGCCTTCCTCCGATTCACCGTGTTCTTCATCGTCACGCTGTCCAGCGGCATCATCACGAACACCGGAACCCCCTTTCCGCCCTTCTTGCTCCTGCCTCCTTCCTCGTGCACCAACAGCTCGTCGCTCTCCGCCGCGAAGGCGAGGCACGCGGCGGACAGATCTGGCCTCGCGCCGCCGCCGATGATGGGGGATTTGCAGGGGCTGGCCGGTTGCGACCTCTGCTCGGCTCCTCCGTCTTCCTTCTGGATCTTGCAATTGATTGGCGCCGGAGATTGCCACACCGCCGCTGCACGCGTTGAATCGCCCGAAGACACGGCGGCCTCTGCTCGAATTGGAGCCCCGACGAGGGCTCCGATCTGGTGAGCCACGTTTAATGCCATTTCTTCTTCTTCTTCTCTGTTAAGATTTCAATAGAGAGCTTTGTTTGGGACGAAGGATTTTGTCTATTCGCCGTCTGATACTATAAAAAAAGCAGAGCGCAGTTTCAATTGCTCCTTCTTTTATAGAATCAGACGACGAACGGGGAAACTGGAGAAGAAAAAACTTGAAAACTTATTTATTTATTTTGTAAAATGGAAGTAGGATGAAGGTTTTCTGGAGGTTGGGGACAAGGTTTATATAATGGCAATCTATTTCATTTTCACCGCCATTTTCGCGCCACGTGTCTTTGCCGTGACTAGCTTACCACAAGTTTTTTTTCATTCCCCATTTTTTCTCTCCCGTTCCTGAGGCAATGGCTGAGATCTCTCGCTGGCAAGTCGGTAATTGGCGATCGGATCTCAGTACACGTGGAGTTACCGCTTCCAACGGGGATTCAATAAACCTGTTTTTTTTTTGGTGGAAATCAATAAACCTGAGTTAGCTAGATGGGAAATGAATTTACGGGTTGTTTGGATGCAGTATTTTAATGAGATAATTTGGTCGAAATAACTCAGAATGAGGTATTTCAATCAAAATAACTCGTTTGACAAAAATAAAGTAGAATGTGGTATTTTGTCCATGAGTCAATTGAAATAACTCATTGTGAGTTATTTGAAATACCTACTCACCCCCTAGTTATTTCAAATAGCTCATCTCCCAACTTCTTTTTCCACTTCATCCCTTCTTTAAGTGGTGAAATACCACAATATTTGAATGTTTTATCCAAAGAAGGCAATTACACCAATTACCACATTTCAAAATAAAATGCCACATAACAAAATAATGCATCATTTGGATTCGAAATACCATAGAACCAAAATGATACATCCAAACGACCCGTCAGTGATTTAATTAACTGGGATATTTATTTTAAAAATCTAACAACGTCCCCCCCCACCCCCCACCCCAAAAAAAGGAATGAAAAGATAACAACAAATACATTTCTTTGATCGAGTTTCTTAGATAATAATTGACGACATATTTCTAAATTATTAAATAATAATTTTTTAATTGGAAGATGATTAGTAGAAGTGGCATTCATCAATTGATAAAGCCTCTTTTTTTTTATAAAGGCTTATGAGGCCAGGCCCATGCGCAAGGATTAGATAGAATTCGATTATTAAGATCTCCGGATTAGGAATTTTACAATGCTATATAGCATTGGTGTTATAAGGTTTTGCCTTTATGGTACAACTTATAATTGTACTTTTATTGTTATGGTACAACTTCATATTGTACCTATACTTTTTGTACAAATTCTTTTATGGTACAACTTGAACTTGTACATTTATGTGATAGTACAACTTCAAGTTGTAAAGTTGTACCATAACATAATAGTACAAATTCCTTTATGGTACAACCTGAACTTATACATTTAACATTATGGTACAACTTTAAGTTGTACATTAAAGCACCAATACTTTATAGCATAGTAGAATGGTGGCTTCTATCGTACCTTGGGTAAAATCTAGGGTACGACATACCCTGAGTAAGAAAATACTATATAGATCTCGAATTAACCGGATTTTTGCGCATGCTACTATACCCTAACCCTTGATGAGTGAACCCTAGGTCTTAGTTTTCTAAATCAAAGAGCCTAATCCCTAAGATTGTGCCTGTAATTTGTTGCATATATTTCGACAAATTATAGCTGTTGATTTTTGTTTCTAATTAAATTGATCTTAGTGTATGAGATTTATAGAACTAAGACCTAGATTTTAATCCTTAAGGGTTTGGGAATAATATTAGACGCCAAACTATGCTTAATTCGAGGTCTAGATATCATTTTCTTACTCAATGTATGTCGTACCCTTGATTTTACCCAAGGTACGATAGAGCCACCCATTATGTATATATGGTGCCTTCTATGGTACCCCGGGTGAAATCCGGGGTATCGCATACCTTCAGTATGAAAACGCTATCTAAATCTCGAATTAGCAGAATTTTTGAGCATGATACTATACCTTAATCCTTAATGAGTGAACCCTAGGTCCTAATTATCTAAATCATAAACTATAAACCCTAAGATGGTGCATTGATTTTTGTTGCCTATATTTGCACTAATCATAACCGTCGATTATTGTTTCTAATTAAATTGATCTTGGGTATAAGATTTAGAGAATTAAGACCTAGATTTTGATCTTTAAAGATTAGAGTATAGTTTCATGTCCGAAAGCTCAGTCAATTCAAGTTCTAGATAGCGTTTTCTTACTCAATGTATGCGGTACCCCGAATTTCACCTTGGGTACCGTAGCGTAGAACTCCCCATATATATATATATATATGGTGGCGTATTCGACGCACCCACTTTTTTGGGTGCACTCAGTGCACCCGTCTCATAATCATCATTCTGAGCATGCGATTCATGTCAAAACGTTATCAATTGTTGTTTATGATATTATGAATAAGAAGCACATGAATTTGAAAAAAAACTTACTTTAATTTGAAGGATTTAGGATTTAAAGTTTAGGGTTAGGGTTTAGGTTTACAGTTTGGGATTTTGCATTGGGATTCTAAATTGAAGGTTAAGGGGTTAGGGTAATAGATTGATTTGTTATGATTCTATGTCATATCATCATATTAGATTGAGAGTACTAATTAAAGTTCAAAATTTGATGTATTATGGACACTTTTAAAGATGGGTGCACAGAGTGCACCCAAAAAAGTGAGTGCACCGAAGTAGCCACCATATATATATATATATATATATATATATATGGTGCCGTATTCGGTGCACCCGCCTCATAATTGTCATTCTGACCATGCGATTCATGTCAAAACGGTATCAATTGTTGCTTATGATATTATGAACAAGAAGCACATGAATTTGAAAAAAATTCATTCAAAGTTTACTTTAATTCGAAGGATTTAGGATTTAGGGATTTAGGGTTAGGGTTTAGGTTTACAATTTGGGATTTTGGGTTGGGATTGAAAATTGAATGTTAAGGTGTTAGGGTAATGAATTTATTTGTTATGATTCTATGTCATATCATCATATTATATTGAAAGTACTAATTAAAGTTCAAAATTTGATGTATTATGGACGCTTTTAGAGTTGGGTGTACTGAGTGCACCCAAAAAAGTGTGTGCACCGAAGTAGCCACCATATATATACCCATGTATGTATATATATATATACTAACATAATAAATTCTTTATAAACTTAACTTGGTTATTAGGGAAATCGTGTCAGCATCTTTAGTCCTGGTCTTGTTTAGTATAGTTGTGTATTTCTGTTTTTTTTTTCTTCTGTTCTGTTGTTTACCCATAAAAAAATTAGTTTGTACCACATCGATTAACTACAAGAAATTTAATCGATTTATAAGGTTAGTTCAACTTAAATAATTCAAAGAGCTAGATGGGCCTTGTTGGATTGGGTTTTTGGGCCTAAGTGGCCAAATCCCTTCACTCTTATATGATGGCCGACCCGTCTCCTTGACACTCATAGCCGGACGATGCCTCCACCCCTTGGTATAAAATTTGGCTCCCAAAAAATTAAGTTTGGGAACAAGGCGGCACAACGGGGTCTCAAACGACAAGGTACCAAGCCGGGTACCAAAAACGGGGTCATCCAAAAAACCGATACCAAGACCCCTAAGCCGACAAGATGGGCTTGATACCAAGATGACAAGTTAGGTTCAATGTCAAGCTCTCTAAGACTAAGTGTGGAGGTTTAGTGGGGGAAGAGGCCAAGCTTTCATCATGTCTAGGTGGGCAACAAGGCTTAGCTAACAAGACGAAGATGGGTAGTAAGGCGACATTAAAGAAACTAAGTAGGGAATCATCAAGGTGTCAGGATCGTCAAGGAGGCTCGATGAGATAGCCAATGTGATGGAGGCAAGACAAGGAGGCCCCAACCCCTTCTAGTCAAGACGAGGGGGCAAGATGAACCTCAACTCATCAAGTCTGATGCCAAGCCACCAAGATGACAATAACAACGAGTCAACAGGATGGGTTAAGGAGCCTAAGGCAATGAGGGTGAAGACCAAGACAACGGTTACCAATTGGCCACCAAGGTGACGACAAGGGGTCCTAAGGTGGTTGGAGCAGACGACTCGTTGACGGTTACCAAGATGGGTTAAGGAGTCCTAAGGGGGGTTGGAGCAACAGGCCGGCTAGCAGTTACCAGGGCGGTTACCAAGGCAGTTACACCTAGCGGTTATAAATAGGAGAAATGAAAATGAAGCTGAGGTTCCACAACCAAACATTTGACGCACAATGTTTAAATTTATATTTTTCTTTGCAATGTAGCCATAGCCCTTAGTTTTTGGAACTCTCACTGCATCTCCATAGGAGTAGGAGTAATTAATGCAGATTGTTCCCAAAAAAACATCAAGAACATCAAACACCCTCGTTCAAACATTGTTCGGAGAAGAGTGAACCGTGTTATTAAGCGTTGTTCAAGACATCTAAGGTGCATATATTGAATTCAAACACCAGAGATTTTCCTCACCGGAAAACAGCTGTTACAAAATGCGGAAACTGAGAATAAAAAATATATTTAGTTGGGTTTTAATGATTTTTTGAACAAAAAGTACATGTTTGTAAGCTAAGAAACCGATCATTTTTTTAAGGACAATGTTCGCACATGGTTGAGTGCCTTAACTCCGAAGTATGAGCAGAGGACAACAACAACAACAACAAAAATTGGTCAATGATTTCATTCAATGGAGGAATAATATCATTGAGGGTATAGGCTAAACGAATCGTATGCTAATAGTATTGGCTAAATTACAAGTTTGGTCACTCGAATTGCTACAAAATTTCACGTTTGGTCACTCGAATTCGTTTATTCCATTTGTAGTCACTTAAATTAGTTGAACAGTCCAAGTTCGGTCACTCTCCGTTAACCTCCGTCAGACTCCGTTAGTGCCGTCAGTTAACTGCTGACGTGGCTAACAAAGATGCCTAGTCACCCAATTTTAACCCAAGAAAAAACAGAAATTGACCCGCCACGTCAGAAAAACATGCCACCTCATATAAACACAACCCAACCCATCCAACCTAAAAAACCATTAACCCACCCAGAAATCGAACTCGTGACCCATCCACCCTTCTTCTTCTTCCTCTATACATGTACGTATATCAACCATAAAAAACTG